GTAGTAGTAAGAGTAGTAGTATTTTATCTTAAAGGAAATGAGAAGGAAGCCCATTTTCATTTAGCATTTATAATATTTTTTATCATTAATATGTGAATGTTTGCAGACGCCACTCTAAAATCGAACTTTTTGTTATTAGAAAATAGTTCTAAAAGTTAGCAAATAAAAACAATAATCCCAGTTGATAAAGTCATAGTTAGTGTTTTATTGATGTTCTTTCTTCTCATCAAACAAAATGTAAACAAAAATCGATGTCCCAAATCGATGTCCCAAATGCTATCTGGAACTAGTGTAAACCAGTGTTTACTGAACATTGCTTGTTGTTTTCTAGATCGAGTGTGTGACCACACAACACAGAGGGGAGTACAGATGTAAGGTGTTTAACTTGTACCATGAGGTATGGAGCGACACCGCAACAGTCACCATTGGTGAGACCAAGAGACTTTAGTTTTCACACGTTTTTTTTGTTAAATGCAATGTAAAAATAAAAACTATGTATTTTTATGTTAAAGAGATCAAAGCAATACTCTGTAAATGTTAAATCTGAAAATGTCAATCAGATTGTTGAACGGCAGTGCTGGTCAGTAACTAACTGTTCCTGTTTTGCTGGTTCATGCAGGTCCGAGTTCAGTCACAGATGCCACCTGGGTGGAAGTCGACCGTGGTTTAGGTATACTGTTTCTGGTAAAGGTTTGAAGAAATACAGTAATTAAAGCTAGTTCCCCTTCTTCTTCCTGCTTTTTGATTTCCTCTTTTTATGTCTATAAATCATAGTTTTTTATACAATGTAACTTTTACAGTCAGCTGAACGTAGGCTAGTGCAGCGTTTTTTTTCTGTTTGATGACATTTGTTTGGTTTGGTTTTAGCAGAGTCGCAGGAAATGCATAGGTCAACTTTTGGACAAGGAGTACACCCAATGCGACAGATGGTCAATCCAGCCCCAGCTGCTAAAAAGTTTTATGGTACTTTTTTTGCAAACAAGATCAATTTTTTTTTGTTTGCCCAATAAAACTTCTAAGTTTGTTTCTTGTACATCTTTGTGTTCCGTACAGCTACAGACAAAGTCGCACTCCTGATCGGCAACATGAACTATCACCACCACAATCAGCTGTGTGCTCCCATTTCTGACGTCCACGAGTTGACCAACCTTCTCAGACAGATGGACTTCAAGGTGGTGTCCCTGCTTGACCTCAACTGGCAGGAGATGAACAGTGCTGTGACTGAGTTCCTGCTGCTGCTAGACAAAGGAGTATACGGTTAGTCCCTGACGTCGTGGTACATATCTCTAATGTGTGCCCTTTTGCGTTCTGGTTTTTTTTAAAGTCTTGCTCACTGCTTCTACAGGCCTGTTATATTTTGCTGGTCATGGCTACGAGAACTACGGCAACAGCTTTATGGTTCCCATTGATGCTCCAGCATCCTACACATCAGACCACTGCATATGTGTACAGAATATACTCACCAAGATGCAGGGGAAAGAAACTGGACTCAATGTATTCCTGTTGGACATGTGTCGCAAAAGGTACGCCTGAGGTTGTTTTAACAATAAAATTACGATAATCTGCTATGAAAGAGGCTTAGGGTCACAAAAAAAAAAATGATATACATTTTTTTCCTGAGTTTTTTTTTTCACATTTGGGAAAGATTAAAATTCTGACTTTTTTCCCTCAAGATTTTTACTTTAAGGCCCTACTAACACTATAATGTTTTAGACAACTTATGCCAACTTGTGAAAAGTTTATCCAACACTAAAGATGTCTACATGGAAGATGGAATAAAAAAATTCTGTAAACCTCTTTTGGACCTATACATACTGTAAGGTTAACAATTAGATGGAATATACAGTCGATATGAGTAAAATAATAGAAAAAAAAACAACAAAAGTCAGCATATATCTAAAATGTTAGTGTGACAGGGCCTTTAATCTTAATATTCTGACTTTTTTCTCAGAATTATTTCAGAAATTACAATTTTTTTCTCAGAATTTAGAATGTTTTCTCAGAATTTGACATTTCAAGAATTTTGACTTTTATATCAGAATTTTGACTTTTTACTTAGAATTTGGATTTTAATCTCAGAAGTCTGACTTTAATCTGAAAATCGACTTTTTTCTCAGAATTTGAAAAAAGAATTTTGAAAAAAATTCTGACTTTAATCTCACAATTCTTACTTTTTCTCACAATTCTGTCATTTTTCTCAGAATTTGGACTTTAATCTGGAAATTTTGACATTTTTCTCAGGATTTGAAAAAAAGTCAGAATTTGGACTTTTGTCTCAGAATTCTGACTTTTTTTTTTCCAGAAAAATACTTTTGTGCTCTGCGGCCCTCATCTACGGAAGCGTGTTGCTATCAGGCAGGAAAAAAAAAAATCCGAGCGCTATCACGTTATAACGTGATACGTATCTCGTTAAAACGTGATAGTATCTCGTTAAAACGTGATAGTATCTCGTTAAAACGTGATA